CATTTGTTTGGCCGTATAATCACGTTTTGCCTCATTCCTTACAAAGGGGCATTATAACACAAACGTTGAGCTTTACAAAGTCATTTAGAGCAACTCGCAAACCGCCAGACCGCCCACTCTGCCTTCCTCTGCTCCCACTTACGCAGGGAGAAATCCAGACTAACCCGGCCGATCTCGGTGGAGATTCGTCACTCTGAAAGACCCCAGCGCTAGTCACAGATTTTCTAACTTGCGTTTGGATGAAAACCCAGGGCTCGTTCGTCGTATCTCAGAGTATTTAGCATTGACTCTAATTAAAAACCCCCTCGCCGTGCCAAAACACATGTAGATGCAAACTTCCATGTTCGACGTCTGCGACACAGCGCTTGAAAGAACTGCGATGCTACATTTACAGTCCGAGGTAGAAGCACCAAGTAGGACCTGCCTGTAAAATTTCCTCTTCCTCTGCAAACTCTCCCTGCACTGCCCCAATTTACCACAGTGCAAAAAACCGCAGTCAAATCAATATATTCTTGGGAAGGAAGGGGGGCTAGTCGAGTGGTTTTTGAAGGCAAGCCAGAGAATATTCTAAACGGGGGACACACAGCGTGTTTCAACTGCTGTGACAATTCTGCATAAAGAGATGTTAAGGATCTAGCTCCTTGCTGTAGCATGCCATGTGTCCCTGAATAAAATTACTGCCATGCAGGCTGTTAGCAGAGGAATGCGTAAACAGACAATGTATCCTTGCATCAGTTCCACAAAATGTTGCACAACACAAATGCCTCTCGATGTGTCATTTCCTGCTTGGCCACCAGCCCAGCTCCTGACAGGCAGTCAACAAAAAAAAGGAGAAAAAAAAAGGGAAAAAAAAGAAAGAAAAAGAAAAAAAAAAGAAAAAAGAAAAAAAATACTGAAAAATTTAAAGCTGTTCTACTCCAAAGCACATTCCACTAGTCCCAGACTTATCCCTCCACCCTCCGCCTTTGAAAGAAAAGAGGGAGAACTTCCTAAAAATTGTTACGGTTTTAAGTCGAGGAATCTAAAAAATCTCAATGACTTATCTGCGTTTTATAAGCCGGCTTGGCCAAACAGTTAATAGAAAGGCTGAGCAGAACCTCTTGCTGGCTTCTGCAGCGTGCACGGACAAAAAGGCGATGTTTGCTCATACCTTTCATCACGTGCACACCTTGCAAGCTGCAGCGGCAGAGAAATACTCGGGAGCTGAATGAAAGAGCCGTTTCCTCCTACTGAAACGCTGCAGTTCACAGCTCAGAACTACTTTCCCATTCACACTGATACAGAAAATTGTAATCGGTGACTTTGGAGAACACCTTTAGTTAGAGATGAACTAAAGTCTTTGGAAGCCAGGCAAAATATAAAAATATATAGACTTCTCCTCCCACATGATTTCCCTCCTGACTGGGAGGGAAATCTTTTTCTACCAAAAGCAGCCAGAAAGGAGGATGTATCTCCTATTTGAAAGGTGCCACTATGGGAGGGCAAGTCATTATTTCTGTATTTGTAATGAGCTAAGGCAAAGGCATTAAAGAGGGGCCTAGGTAAAGGTTTGGGGTTTTTTTGTTTTGTTGGGTTTTTTTCTTTCTTTTAATTCCTGTACAGTGATCCCTTGCTATCTGTCTGTTAGTTGTGACCTCCTGACAACTTATTTCTCCGGAAAACTTCTTTCAGCCCTCCCAGCTGGAAGGCAGCTCTGCTGGCTAAGATGTGCGTATGGCAGAGGTTTTATCCTGGACATGAAGGGAGAAAAATCTCTGCAGGATTTCCCAAGGATCTTATACAATGCTGGCTCTAGACTCCATCAGTCAGAGTGCAATGCACTGTCTCAATCCAGCACAAAGACCGTGCAACAACAGTAGATGTCCCTGGATGGTAATCTGGACAGACTGAAATAGATAACTAAAAATAAATAAATATTTTTCAAGGGAAAATCATCAGAAGACCTTTCTGCATGCAGAAATGGGAAGGTTTTCCTAACAGAGCAACCTGACATCACTGTCTCTACTAAAATATTTTAAAATAATAACAGAGAGGCAAGGCAGCAAGCTTCTACAAGCATATGTTTAATATGACTAAATGGCAGTTACATTTAAGAACCTGACTTTCTGAAGTGCTGAGGATCCAAAATACCAACTGGAGTCACTGCATGCCATGACTGTTCAGCACTCTTAAAGTCAGGTTCTAAATGATCGTGATATCTGTCATGGTATTGCCGCTGCTCCTACTGTTGCTGGAAAGCACACAGCATTTGTTCGCTCAAGTCAACTTGCCAACAGAAGGTCAGAGTGCCTTGCCTATAAACAAGCCTTACAAATTCACGATCTAAAGCATGATGTCATGTCTTAAAATGATAAGCTGGCAACAAAGTAAATGACATTTTGTAAAGATGTGCATAATTTTATGTTTACGCTACTCAGAATGAAGGTTCTAATAAGTCATCGGTTGTGTTCCTTTAAAGGGAAGTTTTATAACTGAGATGAATCACAACTGCAAAAGATCAAAGTTAAAAAACATCAATGATGCCATGGGGTACTTTTTAATCTTGTAATGAATGATGATCATGTGCTCTTATGAAGTTGGTCCAACTGCCAACGCCAGATGTGTATATTAAGAAAAAAGTTGTTTGTGATGTGACAGCTCTGGTTGAGCTGCCAGAGAGAGGAAAACTAGGATAACATGCTTGAGATGTCAAAGTGAAATACAGATCCTGGCAGAGAGGGGCACTATTTGCCGATACATAATTTGTTAAGAAAAACACATTTGCTATCAGACGCACTCATTGACTTGAATTCCTTATCCCCCCCCAACCACCTAATTTTCCTTATGCAACGTAAATGCCAGATACACTTCTTGAATGATTACGACCAAACAGTAATAAATCCACATGAGTGCAGGGGCTCTCAGAAGAAAGCAGAACTTCAGCGAAACTCCCACAGCTCACTGCAGCTACTTTTTCCCAGAAAACTCAAGTTTAATAACTAGTCATTCTGGAGGTCTCATAGCCTCAAAAATATCAGACTGCAATAACAGAACTTGCAGAACCAAACTGACCCCAGAGTAGAGCTTCACTAAGTATTTAGCCAAATATTAAAATTCTAATGGACATTCAAGCTCAAATTTGGCTTTCTTAAAAAAAAAAAAAAAGACAGACACAATAACTCCATCTAGGCTATAAGAACTAAGTTATTGAGCATTCCTAGGTTCAGCTATTCAATGAGAGGAGCAGACAGATATCACATACAGAGGCCTTTCAGGTCTAAACTAAAAAACTCTGTCAGAACTTGGAAACCTTATGAAGTTATATCAACACAGCCTCACTTCTAATCCACTGATCACCAAAATGGTTGGCCCCAATGCAAGCAGGTTCCCTTTCTGTCCTACACAGGGTCATCCACGCTATTCTCTGCATCATTTTCAAGCCGCGCTGCTCTTTCACAGCGGTCGTGTCCTCTGCTGGGAGATTTCCTCTTTTGCGGATGCCTCAATACATCCATGGAAACAGCTTCCAAATGGGAATGGCTAAATGACACATAATGCAGCTTGCCCCGTGTCTCCAAGCAAGCTACATGGAGCACCGGCTGCAGGTGAAAATTAAGAATGGGAACCCATTCAGAGAGAAGACAGAACAAAAATCCCCTCTCTGTGACAGACGGACACCTCAGCCGTGAGCAGGTAGCAACGCAAGTATCTGCGTAATGAAATTTATCCGTAGCTACTTGATTTTACTTATCTGTTATTCAAGGTGAAACTCTACAGTCGGAACAGTTCTTACAGAAGGCATCTCTGTTCCCGTCTCTCAGTGTAAGAGGAGGTGACACCGCAGCGTGTATTAGCACGAGAAACACGCAACTGCGTGAATTCTGTCTACGTCTTTCTACTTCTTCTGTCTTTGTAGTATTTTAAACAAAACTCCATGAAATCTCCCTAAAGGTCTCATTTGTACGTGCAGATCAAAGGCAAAGTAATTATTTGAGATGCTTCTATTATAGGGATTTTTTTAATGTGGTTATCCATCAAATGTAATTTAAATACAGCTATACCTGGTTAATCCAATCAATTTAGAAAGAGTACTTCTAGTTAGATTAAGAAAAAATTCCAGAACTGGCTCATCAGTGATACCCCTATGATGTGAGAGTGGTTACCACTTAAACGCACTAGACAGAACGACAGCCGTATAAATCATGATGGATTAACCAGACTTGACTGTGTCTAAAAACACGTGCTACCCGTAAAACTGCTAGAACATGACAAAACAAAGTTGTCATAAAAATACAGCCAGTGATCCTCGCAGATAAGTTCTTAGTAAGTTTAGGAAGAAACACTGCTGTGAGCTGTGAGATAAATGTGCTGAGTGAAAATCTGCTGGACTGTCTTTAAATAAAATATATTTTCTGTGCACAAATAAGAAACAAAGACCATGCTGTTGATATACTGTTTTTCCACCTTTCTTTGGCCCCCAGGGGTCTATGATGAGTCCATAGCTGAAAACCAATTTCAGGTATGATGAGATTAACCAGGTGCATTAATTATCTGATGGCAAAAGAATTTAAGGGCAAACAAAAAGGCACTATATTATATATTTTCTCTCTGTGCTATGACTGATCCTGAAAGATCAGTCTCCTATTTTGTTCTAAACGTCTTCAGCTGGAAGCTTACAGGAGTTTAGGGAATTCAGCATGTTGCAGGATTGTATCTATTATGCCTGAAATCAGATTATATATAAATACAGCGGGTTTAGTTCTCATTTACACTAGCAGATAATGTATCAAGACCTTGATGTGAATGAGAATCAGGTTTGTGATTGCCCAAATTCAGCCAAGCACTTAAGTGTGTGTTTAATGCAAGTATGTGTGTGGTCCAATAGACTCCAAATTAAGCATGCGCTTACATATTTTGCTGAGCAAGAACCAATGTTTGACAAAGATATACATTTCATTTATGGATCTCTGTTAAATAAAATTAAGCAGACGTAAGTGCAAAAATAAGAATATAATACTCACTTCTTGGCTCCCTTGGCCCATCCACTGTAACCTTTATAGCTCTGTGGTATGTAGCGACTTGGGGGGGATTTGTCAGGACAGTTATTGTCAAAGTAAAGCTCTTCCCTACAAAGGGAAAAAAACAACAAGGAATGAGTGATTACAACATGAAAACAGTCACATGCATGTTCAGTAAAGAATCGGAGACGTTTAAAATTATTCCCTGTCGTTACCACAATCGTGAAAATTAAAAACATAACTGACCATAGGAGTTTTCCTCCCCTTCAGTTTTACTCTATGTCAAGAATATGTCCATGTGTTGACAATCTAAATGTTTTTTATTTAATAATGGGTCATCATACAATGACAGAACAAAAGTGATTCACTGCCGAGGACAAGCCAAATTCTTTGCTGTATTGAAAGTGGTGTAAATCCAAAGCAAGTCAGATAATTTAAAAATTTACTCCAGTTTTGCAGCTGTGTGACAGAGAGCAGAATGTGGCCACATGTTATTTACTTCACACAGTTTTATCATTTCATTTGTTTGACTTGACTACAATAAGATGAGGAAAGAATATATTTTCCTCCTGGGAGTCATTTTAACAGGGAATCAGTGTCTCCTGTCCTTCATATGCCAGGGGTAATATGATGATATCATTATTACTGGAACACACTTTTTTCCCTACGTGTATTCCATCTCTGAACTACTACAAAAGCCCCCAACTTTCCTGTGAGGGTGAGAAACCGCTGTGCGCACGTACGTTGCTATCGTAAGTCTGCATTATTTTTTTTATTATTTTTCAAAGTTCAAATTCACACAGCGATTGCACAAGAACATCCGCAGCCTTTAGCTGAATGAAAACGTTAAAAAGAAATAAATAAAAGGAGCTGCCTGCGTCTGAGCGCACATTCTCACAAGGCGCTGGCCCCCGTTCGGGAGACTCACTGACAGTTGTAATCTGTTAGATATGCAACGGTTAGTCATGTCAGATAGTCAAAACTGAAAACTGTTTCAAGACAGGAAAAGGTGGGCGTACAACAGTGACTCAATAAAACAGTCAGCAATCTTCAGCCTTCATGCTCATTTAAGCTGCTACTTTACCAGACACTTAAAACTCTCTTCCCCCCCGCACCGTGTGTATACGTGCATTTTTGTTGCTAGGGCTTTTCCTCTTGCTGAAATCTGAAGGCATTCAACCAAGACACAAATCTTAAACGATATGTAACAGCGCAAACTTAACACAGTTTTTTCGAGCCTAATATAGAACAGCTTAAATATAAGGTCTAATACAGAACAGAGCTTTGGCTGTCAAATCTAGTAATTGGTCTTTCTTTCTGGTCCAAGTCGTATACCCCCCAAACCTCCCCCAGACATGCATCATTTATTATCAGGAGAGCAACTTCAAACTGTCTTGACTATATTTTTCACCAACTAGAATGTGACACAGATTTTTTTTTTTTTTAAGGAAATATAACTGTCATTCAGAGTAAAATGATTCTCCAGGTGTGGCTGCGCTCCAGCTGTGCCCACTTCTCTGAGAGATGCAGGTTAGAGGGGGGTCAAGACCCCGGCAAAGGTGCAAAAATCTCAGGAGGCTGAATTCTCCAGCGGGGATGCACGGCTGAAGGTGGCTTTCCCCAGTTTCATTGGGAAATGGATTCTTTCTCAAACCTTTCGAGAACGAGCGTCACAGGAGGAGCGTTAGGTGTATGTAGGATGGCCAGTCCTGCCCCTCCGCCGTCCCCAGAGGTAACCCGCGTGTCCCGCCAGCGCGGTGCGCGTGCGTAGGCAGCCGCCAGGCATACGGCAACAGCCCTGCTGAAGCTCGTGGTGCCTCCACGCCTGCTGGTTTAGGGCTGAGAAGGGTCTGTGCCTTTTATCCTTTTCCTGTAGGAACTCAGCCCATTGTTTGGATATATATAAATTTGCCAGCGACAGGTTTAAGGCCTCCTTCAGTGCCAGCCTATCGTGCCAGAAAGTTCTGACCACGAAATTGTGTGACGACGCCACTCAGATCACGGATACCCATATAAAATGGGAGGATATTGTTGGTAACGAAGATACCAAAGGGACTTTCCATATACCTTTGGATGAAGAATTTGGCTTTCCGATGCTACTGTTCTCTTTATATACCAAATCGGCGTAAAAGTCTATCGTGACTAAATATTAACCTGACAAAATATACTGTTTGTAAGACCCTGTAAAAGGATGCCTGCACAATTTTCTGCACTAAATATATCTCAGCGGGCTACAGTGGCCAGAAAAAAATGCATTCCTTCATATCTAAGAGCTACGTTTCACCCTCACCTGTGAGCACTTCCAAATTTCCACCTCTCAGCCAGCCTAAGCGGCACAGGTAAGCGTCTAATTCGAAAGGGAAACTGGTTTTGTTCCCTAACTGGCGTCCCACCAAAGCGAAGCATCAGTGAAGTAACACTGATGAAGCCCCCTCGCACTCCGTAAATAACACATCGCTTCATCGCGGGGAGCTGCGCGGCCCTGCCAGCGCACTCAGGTCCCAGAGCTTTCAAGGGATGATTTACATATTACAGGCTTAAGGACAAAATAAATTTTTAAGGTCCCCTGGTTCAGTGACGCTTACGCCTTCCACAGATATTTCATAGATATCCCTCCTCAGCTCCGAAATCCTTTAATGCACTTTTTATCACCTTTCTTTATTGCCCTTAGTCATTTAAACTATCCACTTTTAGAGGCTAATTGTAGTTCTTTTTTATTAAATCCCCCAGCCAAGCAGTCATCTGGCACTATTGCTTCAGCGTGTCCAAACTGTGCGTTCTTTGTTATTCACACATGTGAGCCGAGCTGACACGGGCGGACGGGATGGACATATGCTGAAGCACAAGGCAAACCCCAGAAATTAGCTTGAAAGGAGACTCGGCAGCTCGTGCGTGTTGCATATTTTTTCAGTTAGATGCTAATGTGATTAAAGTATCAGGACACAACAAAATTAAGGTTATGATCCTTTGCTTATTGAAGACAGGAATTCTTTCTTCTCTGCGCTGTGGATCGGGCTTGTAAAAGTGAGCTACTGCCTCCAAACCACATACAAACAACTTCTGCGTTCACATAAAGCGCCCCGGTTAGTTATTCTTATGAATCCAGAAAAGGTGTTTAAGAGAAATTATACAAACAAAAACGTGAAGCTTCTGTCAGGCAAGCAACATTAATATGTATAAAAATCAAGTTTCTCCATTGAGCCATGGGAAGCAAGAAAAAACGTGGGAGAGGAGGTGAAGTGGTAAGTTGATGATTCAGACTTCACAATCAAATTTAGAGATACAGAGATCAAAGAGCGAGCTGTTTAGAAAGATGTAAATCTAAAGTCAGGAACAGGTGTGGATTAGTTTCTCGCTACCGAAAAATGATTTCTTTATTACTTTATTTTTCCTGTTCTACTTCAAGACCTGTATCTACTGACGTTTGTCTATGTAAGGAGCTTTCTCACTTCTGTTTGCAACTACTGCTTTCTTTTCGTGCTGTTTTAAGCAGAGTTCTAAAAATCTATCATTAATGATAACTCTCTCTGCTTCTCTCCCTCTCTCTCCCCCCCCCTCTGTTCTAAGTCTGGAAGACAAGTCTGGACCAATTTCTCCATCCTGCCTCTGGCAGCAGAACGCAGCATTTCAGATCCTCCACCGAGTCCCGGCTGCTTCAAAGGAAAAGCCCTACTTTCTTCCGTTAAGATCATAAGAAATATAGGGGGAGGGGGTCAGCTCTGTTTGGACATAATTACACTTCATCAAAAGAAGCTTTCTTCATCTTCCATGCGTGAAAAGTCTGCAAGCAGTTAAGTCTGTCTTTTTTCTTCCTTTTTTTTTTTTTTTTTTTTTTTTAAATATAAAAATTGCTATTTGGGAAACTAGCCAAAACTCAGAAAGCCAATATAGTAAAACAGTGCACACCCTTTGTTTTTCTTTGAAGTCTCTTAAATAAATATGTTGAGGGTTTGAAAAGTACACTATCGCTTTTCCATAGATTCTACCCAGATTGATCAGAGAAAAAGTCTATTCCAAGTCTGCTAGATACAAGTATAACTTAAACTACTGGAACCAAATTTTAGGAGGTTTGTGTTTGTATGTGTCTGTAGCCCCATCGAGTAAGGCTTTAGGCCCTCTGTTTCATTTCCTATGCTTTAATAAAAAGTATATATCATAGGTTTCAAATTAAATTCACAGATCAGAAGTAGTACATCACATTTCGGTTCTTTTTCAGCACTACTGAAAGACTGATAGACTACTGAACTTTTACTGTTAAGGCAGCAGCAGTGATGGAGCCAGAGAACTTTCAAACCTAATCCATCAGCAGAATAACAAAGCAGACTGTTTTTTTTTAAAGAAAGCAAGACAAGTGGAAGAGATAGCTAACACCTTATCCAAAAGGCCAATGAACTCCGTATTTATATTGCATTATTGTTGCAGTTGTTATTCTCTCTTTCAAGTTTTTCTTTCTTATTGATACTTTTTAAGCTGGAAAATGATAAAAAGAATTGTTGGCCAGGTCACTAAAATAAAAAATAGCTGCTGTAAGCCACACTTATCGACTCACTTTTGCAAAGTGCTTGCAAAAGCGTGACGACAGATTTAGATTATCTAGGCCTCTGTCATATGTTTACTTTTTTTTTCTTTGGACAAATACTCTTTCCTTCCTTAAGATTAATTACAACTGCTTTCTAAAGAATATTACTGTAAAATCAGCTTTATTGCTCATTTCCCAGCACAATTGTTTGGCCTCTGTTGCTTTGTTTTGCCCCATGCAGGGCTAGTTTAAAAAAATGAATAATTACTTCAAATACATAAGGGAAAAAATACGTCGGCTGAATCAACGACTGATACAACCACCCCCTCTGAAGATGCCTGCAGCAAAAACTGAAGTGCTGCCTTCCTTCGAGCTATCCTTTCAATCATTACCTGAAATTTGAAAGCAGCTATAAGACTCCTAAAGAGGAATTCTTGCAAACCTGCAACGATTACAAAGGCTTTCTATGAGTGCGGTGCAGCTTCCAGATTATAGGAAGCTCCTAAACAGCTGGAAGACAATGACAGCACTCTACATCTTCAAAAAAAAAAACCTGAAAGTTACCCTGTCATTTAAAGGAAAGGTGAAATTTAGTTCAGCCCAAGCTTACAGGCAATTCATAAAAAGCCAACCAGTTTACTAAAACAAAAACTACGGCTTATTTTTGTAGGTCATATGCAGTTTGATTGTAAAGGGCAGGGAAGTCACTAGAAAGCTTTCCACCAGTAGCTGTAAGCCCTTAAAGATGTAAGCCCTTGAAGAATATAGCCTATAGCACGAGTGATATGCAAAATCCCCTTAATTATACGTCTTCTACAACAACTTCAGAAGCAGCTCTACTGCTAAAGGGACTTCTCCAGCTCTCGTGGCCGTGGCCTGAGATACACTCTCTGATCCACGTAACCTAGATCACAAATACCCCATTGCCTTCTGCCTTTGCTGCGTGATCAAAATGGGGAAGCGGGTACTCTGCGAACCGGTTTTCAAAACCTGTGTCTGATAAAAAGGTGGAGAGACGTGAGGAGTCAGAAAAGCTTAAAGAGAAACTCTTAACTGGGTTTGCGCTAGTGCTGAAGTTTGCAAATAAAACATGCATTCACCCCTCGAAACGAAAGGCCGACAACGATGTATTTACAGAAGCGTCAGCATTTCGTTGCGAAGCCTGACGTCTAGACATTGTTCTTACTTCGTTACGGACACATAAAATGCAGTGGCCTACCTCTTCCACTTCTGCCCACAAATCGTAAGTCATTAAATCTGGCCACCTGGTTCTTCATCACGGCAGAAGCGTTTCGCAGCTCTGCAGAGTAGTTCTCATCGTTTCCAGCCATGACGGTGACCACCGTCCCATCAGGCACTTCTCCTAAGGCCACCACCTGTCGAAACGGGAAGACAACCACAACTCGTGAAGCAACACTTGGGAAACGCGTGTCTCCGTCCCCGCTTTGCAGGCTGCCATGCTCATTACAAAGCTCTGCGGCCGCCTCTCCAGCCCACTGTGGTGAAGAGTCATATATTAGCTGAACGCAGAACAAAGTGCCACATCAAACGAAGAAACATCTTGTATTGTCTCCCTTTCTCATAGCCCAATAGGGAGTTTCTTCTTTGTTACATTTCTTCGGAAACATTCGACATCCTTATGGAGAGTGTATGGTTTAATGCTTCCTGAAGGCCAACTTTGTTCTTAGCAACCGTCGAGCAGCGAGAAAACACGAGGCATGGCTCGCATCCATAAATTATACGCGGGAACGCATTTGAAATGGAAAGTTAGTAATTACTATTAGCAGTCTTATCACCCGGATTCGGTTCTACTTCTCTGCTGGTTGCGCCCATCACCCTGACCCCAGAGCTCCTCAGACTTCAAGCTAGAGAGAAACCCCCCAACCGCCCGCGCCCGGAGCGGCACCGGCGGCGTTAGCAGACAAAGCTCTCCGCCCGACACGCTGCTACGACGGAGCACTTTATGGCTGGAATTCAAACTCTTCAGATGCAATAGAAAACAAAGGCTGTATTTCCTTGCAGGCATGTAAATTTTCATAGCGCTCGCAAGAGGCGCGTGTGGTTAGCGCTGATACCTCTCTCAAATTCCAGGATGGGTGAACAGAAGATATCAAAGTATTTCTCTTTACGTCTCAGCTAGCTGATAGTCTCACTTTCATGCTTCAGTGGTTGTGTAAGTGCTCCGACATCTGATTAGATAAATGCCACAGAGCAGACAGCTACCGTCTTCTAATTTGAAAACACCAGGGATACCTACAGCGTTACTGCGCTCTGGCTTTTTAAAGGAAAAATAAATAGGAATACTAAGTTACTAGGAAGAAAACATACACGTTTCTTCACACGGGGTGAAAGAGTTCATGAAAGTATCAAGAAAATAAGTTCCTTTTGCCCGGTTAGCTAATACTGATGCTGGAAATAAATTTATAACAAAAAGAGATTCGGAAATATTGCACGGCTGAGCTCAAACTTAAAAAAAAAATATCCTGGGACACAAAACCCGTCCCCTCGCTGTTTTTACCAGTTTACATGGTCAGATATGACTTTTTATATTATTCAGAGTAATTTATTCTGTCTCCTGAAATATATATTACATTTCGTCATAAGCCCTGGTTGAAATGTCTTTCCTGTAAACGATCCTGGCTGAAACTAATAACACATTAATTAAGTGGAAAGAATGAGGTGTTCTGAATATATAGGGAGACTTCTAAATATATAGGGAGAGCATTATGTGGCCCGGTGCTCTGCATAACGTTTCTCTAAAACAATAAAGACTAGTGACAAAGGTATACAAAATCTGAAAATATTTACAACAGACTGTATTACTGAAAATTATAGCTTGTTTCATTTAAAGAAGATATTGAAGAGAAACGCTGAAACACCGTATATAAACTATCTACTCTGGTGCTTTTCTGTTTTTCCATAAAACACCAGGTAATATCACCCAAAACTGAAAACTGAGTTTTGCCACAAACTACTGTGAGATCTCCGTCTATCAAGCAAAGATTTTACTTTAAAGCCATCTGAACGTCCCTGAACATAAAAAGACAGGAGCCACCGTTGTGGTCCCACCAGCTCGCTGCCTTGGGCCTGACGGCTACCGGCTCTGACGGCTTCAAAGCCAGGTGTAAGGAATAATAAATAACAATCAAATAACAAATAATAATTTGCGGAACAGATTATAGAGCTGACTCTAACTCTTGTTAAATGGATATTGGCTTAAACTCTAAGGCTTGCAACTACTTAGGGACCACGCTTCCCAGTTTGCCACAGACCACGCTCTCGCTGGACAGTCCTGTCATGCACCTTAGCACCCAGGGGAGCTGCAACCTGCAGGTGTTATGTCCCGGGAAACCACCAACCACCCAACCAAAAATGACAAGTAACTCCAGCAAGGCAAAGAAGCCGAAAGCACAGGAGGAAGAGCGAGTCTGCCGGGAGCCTCGGAAGAGGGAGCACGACGACGGCAGCCTCAGCTCACCTCTTTCTCTCGAGGTAAGCCGAGCACGGCGCAGGCAGTGACATCACATCTCCGTCTCAACCCGGTCTCGACCCAGAACGCGGGTACAGCTTGCAACACCTGGGCAGGAGGGAGCAAAACCTCTTAAAATGTCCCCCCTGACCCCCGCCGCTTTTCAGGGCTTTCCTCCCTGCCCTTCCCGCTCGACGGCGTCAGTTCAATTTGTCGGCTTAGACATCAGCCTAAAACCGCACGTGCTGCTGCCGGAGTCACCGCGCTGCCGGCGCCGAGTCAGGAACTGCGTCATTACTGAAACGCACCGGCTTTTTGATGCAGTATGATGCAATATGGCTATTCGTCTCATTAGGAGCAGACCGAAGGAAAAGACAAACTGAAATCAGAGGCGAAAAGAAAAACTTTGGCTAATAAAAGAAAGTCCTATCACAAGGGGAAGCTCCCCTGCTACGCAACAGGAGTAAAATGCTGGTTCTTTTCACGTTTTCATACTTTTTTTGCCATGAAATGCCAGGAGACTATTGCACATCTACGTAATAGCACTGGTTAGAAAAAAGCTTCGCAAAACAAGTTTGAAACCTGGAGAAATACACATAATTTTGAGAAATCTAAAAAGTAACTTCACATACTGAACAACTGTTGGCATAAACCTTGATTTGGTCATTTTATGGCATGGATCAATCCAAAATTATTTACGTTTTCTTAGAAAGAGGATTCTAAGTGCACTGTGAAATGAGTAAGGACTGCGTAAAAAGTCCAGGTTAAAAGTAGCCACAGTGCACATTCCTTACCTATTCTTCAAACATAAATATCTCTACAATTTCAAAATCTTTATTTTCCGTATTAAACTGCCTACACGTTTTGTTGTTTACAGGTAGATTTTGCTTTTGCTTTTTTTTTAACTAAAGCTCAAAAATGTACATGAAGTCAGACAAAGTCACAAAAGAAAACCAAACCAATTCTTACAAGTTGAAAAGAACTATGTATTTTTTTGCATAACACGGTTAGGCAACCTGTTTGCCCAGTTTCGGTCCAGTGGGATTTGAACTGGCCAAAGTATGTACCCTAAAGACGGAAGTTATAAGCACGAAGCAAAACTACTATACAACAGCAGGTACCAAGACTTTCCGCAGAGTAAAATGCTTGTTTTGAAAAAAAGCTAGTGCGCATGCTAAATAGTTCCTCTCAGACACCGATATGTACCACTTCAACAACTTTTTTTGCGAAACACTCAATTCAAACAGCCTCTGAATATAAAATCTTCCGTACTGAGAATGTCTTTTCCAGAGATTGCCAAAAGAGCATCTGATACTATTAAAAATATTTTAATGTTCTGTAACTTAAAACAGAGTAACTGATTTGCACTACTTTTTGTTTCAAAATATACATCTGGGCTGACGATTTATACAGCAGGTTTCAGCTTGAAGCTATTTAAAACAGCTGAGTTACAAACTCTGAAAATTGGGGTTTGGAGTGGAAATGCTGACAGACCCTTAACTACTGTGGTGCTACTGGGGAGAGGTTTTAGACTTCACGTCCCTTTTTTTTGCCCCTGCCTTTAGGTCCACTAAGACTCTTTGCTACTATCAGCATCATACAGAAGCCACTTGTAAGATCTAACGGGGCAATTTGGGTCTTTATGACTTTCACTAAAAACTCCCTGGCAGAAACATCAGGCCAAATTCTGATGACTCTGCTCAAATAAAGTACCGCTGGCTATTAAGATTAAGAAGTGAATATGATTTGGACCCAGGTGCAGAGAATCTATTTCTTTTACGCTGGAATATCACTAGACAGTTGGAGCTACATTAATAGGTACACGTCTAATACTTTTCCCCGCAAAACCAGTTTTTATTAACAACCTTATTACTGAGTACACTCAACACAGACTCCCTCCCCAGTGCGTGTAAATACTAATATGTAAAATTCAAATGTAGTACTAAGCCAACATTATTTTAAAAAATTATAATCAAACCCAGCACTGTTTATAACATACTTCCTCTCCTGCACATGATTTATATCTGTTTTTTTAAATTAAAACAGTGCTATATCCCAAGTACTTTTTAACTAGAGATCTCTGCGAGAGAATTATGACACACTTAGCACACCACTCAAAACATTATCATCAACATATTATTTATTGCCAATAAAACTTCAAAAAGTGTGTTGTCTGTTGAGCTATTTTACTTTCAAGTCACTGTTTAGCTGAGATTTCTGTAGCCCAAATCTGTCTTTTTTTTTTTTCCTTTTCAGATATAATTCCCATTCTGTTCTATCACAGTCAAGTGTTTCGCTGCACGACACACGCAGCTTCTTCGGTCTAGAAGTACTGGACAGCTGCACGCAAGTTACATTTGAAAAATGAAACAAATTTTTTAAAATGGTCAAAATTATTTCAACGCAGTTTCAAATTAATTTACCAGTAATTAAGGCCGTGTATATTGCCAGCATTTTTTTTAAAGTATGCATCCATAGTGCATGTGAAAACACAGCTGCACCCACACTGGAAGGCTGTAAGGGCCAATGCATACTCCTGACGCGTCCCTAAATTGGTCGTATCTATACGTGTCTCCCTGTCAGCGATCAAACATAGGAACCAAATATATGACACGTGTGTGTATAAATATATATATATATTTATATGAACACAAAAAGATTGGGAAGTGCTCTACACCTTTTTCTATCCTTTTATCACACGTAAGCGTTCCCATTGTAATAATATTCTAAATACTCTAACATTTAGTTTAGATCTTTCCCTTATTCTAATGAACTGCGACCACATCCTTTGAATTGCTGCAAGGTAGGAGACGGCTCAGATGTTTCAAATGAAAACTGCAGCACGAGTACGATAACGTAGGAGCTCTCGTCTCCCTTCTATAGAGGGTAACTATAATATCAGCTGAATCTAACACTCAATTAAATTACAATCACAATTCTCCAAAAGCTCTTCCTCCTTAGCCCCAAGCCCCTGTGCACCGGAATCAGGCCGATCCACACCCAGAGAGCCTTCGAGTGCTACGCCGAGTTCCGAGAAGACACCCCATTTTTCTGCCATTTCTACTTAGTCCGACCAGCGCGGCCGGCACACGCAGGCCCCGTGCACGGGGCTGCTCTGCAGCTCCAGGCTCTCGAGGCCGCTTCCCCCACACAACAGCGCTTTAGCCAACTCTAACCCGCACCCCCGTAACATTTCTGGAGCAAAGCTTCATCTTTATCACCGGTCACCTTAACGCCAGCTCATTTAACCACTTCTACTAATTTTTCCCGGATAAATGGCCGTGACAGCCCGGCTAGCAACCGGGAAACACAAGGACAAGGCGACGTTGGGGGAACACGCTTGGGTGAGACTGTTTCCAAACTCTTCCACCTTTTGTGGGATTTCCAGGAGCGTTATTTTTTCACATAGCGGGTGTGGGAGCGCAGAGCCCCTCGCAGGGGAACCCCACCCCGGCTCTGACCCCGCGCCCCGCTCGGGCAGGTGCCCTGGGACGCCCAAGCCGTCGCCCTCTCCCTACCAAAGGCCACGGGAGAGGAAAATCCCGGGGAGGAACGCTGTCAAATATTGCTAAGGGGAGGAAAAGGGTTTGCTTTAAAGCACGCAATTATTGTTGTTATTATTACAGTTTAAAAAAAACATTCTTTTCCTTTCTTAAAAAAAAATTAAAAAAAAAATTTCTTTAAAAAAAA